CTCCTCCTCAGGGTGGTGATGGTGATCAGCTCCATCTCCTTAGTGATGGAACTCCCTGGGGAATTCTTTGCTGGGAGTTGGTAACAATGGGTACATTATTTTCCCCTTAGGAATCATAGCCATATGTCTGCACGCTGGGAAAAGTGGAATTTCTCATGCTGTATGTATGCTGTGCACAGCTCTCCACCAGGGAGGAGAAAATCATCCACAGGGGCCATTGGTAGGAAATGTAGGTATGTCCTCAGCTGCTGTGGGCCAGGGTCTTACAATGTTTCCCTGACAAAAATGGATTTCCAGGGTTGAGATCCCAACCCAAAAATTTCCATGTCTTAAAATGCCCTTGTTAAAGGGCAGAGTGAACTTTAATTGTCTTTTGTTTACTTATTTGAAAGGAAAGTGTGTGGCAGGCTTTGATAGTTCTGTTTTCAAGCTGGAGAAGAAAGCAAAATGCAAAGATGGAGCTCCTACTTAGCTTTGCTCTGGTTATTTGCACTGCCACGATCAAACCCTGGCTGTGTTTTCCCTGCTGATTCCTTATGGGTTTTATTCATGGCTTGCTGAAGCTGTGACTGAGTTGCTCTGCTACTGCAGTCTGTGGGTTGGGCAGATGCAGAACCTCAGGAATTGCTTTTCTCCCCATGGAAATCTCTGCTGGCTGCTCTTCCCCGAGCTGTCCATGCGTAGGTGCAGGCAGGGAGACCAGTGAAAGTCGCTTCCCACCTTCCAGTGTGGGCTGGGACATCCTGTCCCTTCCTAGGAACAGGGCAGGGATGCTGCAGCCCCATCACTGCTCAGCTGGATCAGATTAAACTCAGGACTGCCTTTGCGCTGAAAGTGTCACTGGCCAAGGATTGCAGAGATGATGAGGTTGAAGGGCGGTATTTTTATTTTGCTTTTTCCTCCTTAATTTGCTCCCTGGGAGCAGCCAAAGGGCTGCTGAACCCACTGCTTGCTCTGCCCCTGAGCTTCTGGAGGAGCAGCAATTCCCAGCTGGCTGTTTCCTAGGAAGAAGCAGAGTGGTGCTGTGTATAGCAGCTGCTGCACAGCTAATGAGTGTCATATAAACAAGGGCTGTTTGGGTGTGGATAACAGGGGTGAGGGTGCTGGCAGCCTGGCCCTGGCCAATGCGATGTGTACCCTCCACACCCACTCTTCTGCACAGCTGGAGATGTTCTGTTGGTTTTCAAAGTGTTTATTTCTAAAAATCAGGTTGTTTTTTGCACTTGTGTCACACCTGGTGTCCCATTGTGTCCCTGTGGTGTTAAATGAGGCAGCCCAGGCAGGGCCCTCCTGTCCTGGCTCAGAGATCCTGCTGGTCCCCATAGTTGTCACTGCTTGGTTGTCACAGCCACTTCTGTTTCTGTGTGCTCAGAGGCATGGTTTCCTCTCTTGGGAACAGAGGACCATTGCAGTCACACAGACTGTGACCTGGGTTGTAATTAGTAAAGCTAATTAAGGATGTGCACCTGTGACACCTCGAGCACTGCAGACCCTTGAGCAGCACCTCCATGCTCCATTCTCTGACTGTGTCTGTTCACCCTGTTCCCCCATGGTTCTGTCCTGTGGTCATGGTTTCCTTCTGGTTTAAGTTCTGAGCACTGGAGGAAAAAGCAGCAGCACAGCCTGGTTTGGGGCTCTGCTTGTGTTTGTGTTTTGTCAGAGACCTGTGGCTTTTGCAGTGGTAGCAGCACTTTTTTGTTTGTGGTTTTTGGTTACCTGTGGTTGCTGTCAAAGGTTGAAGTGCGAATTGTAGGTCCTTACTGAGCAAGCTGTGAGGCACATCCTCCCAGAGCTGCTGGCTCTGGAGGTGTGTTTATCCACACATAAATACAGCCCGAGCTCTGTGTGTACCTCCTGAGGCTGGCATGGCTGGCACTGGTGCTCCCCACTCCTGCCCTGCAGCCGGGCTGGGGCCACTCTGTGAAGTGATGGAACTTCATTTTGACTAGGAGAGTAAATTATTGTAACCACAAATGGGGAAATTTGGCTTTGATTCCTGACGCTGGAAGGGAGAGGAGTCCTTCAGGACTCCTGTTCAAATTCATTTTGGTGTGTTTCCATGGAAACAGGCTGAGCAGGCAGGGTCCGTGGGGTAGCGCTGAGCCTTGGCGTGCTGTTTGCAGGGATATTCCAGCTTGGAGCATGGCACTGTTGCTTGATCCTTGGGTCCTGGTGCTGGGGGAGCAGGACAGGCCCTGCAGCTGCCTCTCCCTCCTGCCAGGCTCTGGGGGTGCAGAGCAGCAGCCTTTGGCAACCGAGTGTTTGTACTGGGGGGGAAAACATTTCTGACAGTTAAAACAAGGGAGAATACAGACTTATCTCTCCCAGCGTGGGATGGAGCCCCGTTTTTCCACAGCAGATCTTTTCCTGACGGCTCCTTCCTGTGGTCAAGCCTCTTTCCTGTGGCCATGGCTTATCCCTTTCTCCCCAAGCCTTCCTGATGGGTTGTCACCACTGTCACCACTGCCATTTGGGTGCCACCGAGGGAAGGGGCAACGTCCCATCGAGGGTCTCCAAGCACTGACACCAATTCTCTGCCTCAGGGCCTGGTGCTGGGCCCTGCAGGGACACAGCCCCTGAGTGGGGACATCCTCTGTTCCCATGGTGCCAGCAGTCAGTGAACCCCGTGCTGTGTCCCAGTGACACCCCAGGGCTGTCCCACAGTGCCAGCAGTCAGTGAGCCCTGTGCTGTGTCCTACTCACACCCCAGAGCTGTCCCATGGTGCCAGCAGTCAGTGAGCCCCGTGCTGTGTCCCTGTCACACCCCAGAGTGTGGCAGTGCCGCAGCAGCAGCGATGCTGTCCTGTGCATGCACACAGGAGCTCTGTGAGGAGCCGATGTTCAGCCAAGGCTCTCTACGTGTGGGAATCGAGTTGTGTTGGTCTGGAGAAGCCTGGTTTCCATTAGGAGCTCCTCCAGAGCCCGCCAAGCACGCAGGGTATGGGCTCACACCCCCCTCCCTCTCTCCCTCCTTCTCCTCTGGGCTGACAGGGACACATGGTACATGGAGACCCCCTATCCCTGCCAGGTACCACCCATGGAGACCTGTGGTGCCTTGTCACCTGTCCCCAGCCAGCACCCATGGAGGGGACAGGTGGACACACAGAGAGACAGATGCTTTTAGAGAGGCTCAAGAACACACAGTGGGCTGGGAGGGGTGTTGGGAAGGAGGGATTGAAAATCACCGGTGACCAGCAGCAGGGGAGGGGCTGGATGAGGCCGCAGCAGCATCAGGGATGGTGACGGTGAGGGGATTTGCAGGGCATGAACAAAGATTCCCCTGAGCAAGGGCTGAATGAGCCTCCGGCCTGGCCTGAGCGAGCACTGGGGGACTGAGGGGGAATTATTTGCTGAGGTTTTCCATCAAGTCAATGACATCGTTCTGTGAGAGAGTTCACCCATTTACGTGCTCCAGCCCCTGGCAGCTGGGGCTAAATAGCGACATTCAGGCCTGAATCTGCCCATTCAGGAGCAAAGGTTTGACCCATCGAGGGCTGCTGAACGAGGCTTTTGAGGGAGAAGCAGGGACTGCACTCTGAGCCTGCACTGGGGACCCGGCAGTCCCCCCACCCCTGCCTGCCCAGGGACCTTGGGGAGGGTCAGGAGCTCCTGACCTGGGGACAGGGGAAGCAGGGCAGTCTGGGGACCTGCCAGTATCCCACACAGGCCACTTGATTTCTTTCCCCCAACATTCATTTCAGTGTTGTCCAATTTTTCTCTCCCCTTCACAGCAGTATTTCAGAACATCCCATGATTGCCACCACAGTAATGAGCTTTATTTTCAAATAAAAAAAAACCCCCATCCATGTACACCAAGTTCCTATATACAACAATCATGGTGCTGGCTTGGCAAAGCAGAGGAGGGAGCTGGTTGCCCATAAGGTCTGTGCCATCACATCTTCCCCACTTGTAATTTCATGAATTTCTGAAAGTGCCATCTCTGTGCACTGCCACAAAGGAGTCCAGCCTGGGACTGTGCCCATAGCTGGAGTCCCAGATTAGGGGAAGTAGCAATGTAAATCAGAGGATAACATTATTCCTTTGCTTTCCTTTTTGTCGCCTACATGCTACTCTCTGAGGTCAGGCAAGTGCAGCCTCCTCCTGTTTGTATTTCAGGAATTGTAGCTTTGTGCAGGATGGTGTGGTCAATCCAGTGAGTGTGCTGTCCCTGCTGGCCCTGGTCAGGCTCTGTACTGGTGTCATTGTCACGTCCCAGGGCCCCTCTGCCAAAGCCAGCAGACGCCATCCAGACACGTCCTGCAGCCACACAGGGTGCAAAGACACAAAGCATCCTTTGGGCCAGAAACTTCTCTGGAAGGTCCAAAAATAATTTGGACTGAGCCACAGGAAACATCAGGCAATTTCTTTGCTCCCAGCCCAGACTGTTCCTCACCAGCAGGAGCAGCAGGTCCCAGGGCCATGTGTGGGTGCCCAGCTGAGGCCCCTGGCTCAGCTGTGTGCTCTGTGGCACTGTCCTTCCCTCAGGGCCTGTCTGTGTCCATGACCCCACAGAGGGACAGTTATTTTTAGTGCTGCCTTTTTCCTCACATTTATTTTCTGACTCTACAGATTTTTCTCCCATATTATGAAACAATTTCTGTGAACAGTGGCCAGCCTGTCTGACAGCCTCTGAGCTCCAAGGAGCTGTGCTGGTGCACAGAGAGCCCTGGAATATCTCCTGAATGTCTTCCTGCAGGGAAGTGTCCCTTCCTGTCTGTGCTGGACACAAGGCCATCGATCAGTTATTGTACTGTGTGGTGCATCCATTAGTGCTGCAGAAGTTTTTTCAGAGAGAGAAAAAACCCAAATCCAATTCTCTCTGCAGCCTCTGAGGGTTATTAATGCTGCAGCATTTTCTGCGGCACTGAAATTCCCAATGCTTATGGATTTTCATAACCACCTTACTATGATCTTTTTCCATTCAGGATAAATACTTAGGACATGAAGCCTTTGTAGAACAATTGCAGAAACCCACAGCTGATTGCTCTGTCCTTTTCCAGGGTACTCCTCAGCAGTGCAGAAGTTCTCCCAGACTCTGCAGTCCTTCCAGTTCGACTTCATTGGTGACACACTAACGGATGATGAGATCAATATTGGTGAGTTCTCTGCTTTTTGAAGCTGACTTCCAGTAATTGGAACAGTCTCCCTCTCTAGGAATTAGCCTGCCTGATGGTTTTTAAGCAGCCTCAGGAGCTGGGTTCCAGGCAGCTCTTCCACAGCTTATTTTATGAAGTTGAACAGTCACGGGTCGAGTTTCACATTCCCAATTCAGCGGATAATTTGCAGAGGTTTTTCCATGGCTCCAGGCCTGCTCCATGCTGCCAGGTGCTGGGAGGAGGCAGTGTGGTGCTGACCTCCCATCCAGCCCCTCTTCCCAGAGCTGCAGTGGAGCCCAGCTCTGGGTGCTGCTCCCAGAGCTGCCTTTGCTGTGCAGGAACAAACTGCCCCACGCTGCCCTGCAAAGGCACCAGGCTGCAAACTGCTGGGAAAAAGGGTTGCTGGATGTGTCTCAAATGGAGAACAATGGCCATCTGTGCCCTGGGCAGCCTTGCAGGGCTGCTCCCTGCACATCTGCTTGGAGATTAGTGATCTTGGAGCTGTGTTAAATCCCTGCCCTCCCCCAGCACAGCTCTGGGAGTCACTCAGCATCCACAGCCTGGGAGGCCTTAATGCCCCAAACCCTGCACATTTCACATGAATCTGCTCTTGGCTTAACAGGTCAGTGGACCCTGCCGGGGTGACAGGGGGTTGCAGGAGGGACAACAGAGCATCCTCAGCCCCGAGGTTCTGACTCTGCCCCATCAGACAAAACACTTGGGCAACCTGTCTGGGCTGAGGAGCTGGGGCTGCCCCCAGGCTCACAGGGCATTGTCCAGGCAGGAGCACAGGGCATTCATGGGGTGGGGCACAAGGCACAGGGTCTTTTCCAGGCTGCTCCCGAGGGCTGCACATAGGGGAAAAAAGGAACTCCAGCTTTTGTCAGGCAGGGGTTGCAGAGTGGCAGCAGTGTGACATTGCTGGTGTCAGGTCTCTCAGCCACTGTCAGAAGGGGAAGGAAGTAGAGCCTGTTCCTTGGGCTGTTGTATTTAAAGCCACGTGAAGCAGACTGCAGCCCGCCCCTCCAAGGCTTGTTTCCTTTGTGGAAAGTCTCTGGGTGAAACCTGCTGGAAATGAGTCAGCCTCCAAATCTAATGGCAGCAGAGGTGCTGAGCTTCCAAACACACACGGGTCAGGAGGAGAGAATTCTGCCATGGAAATGCCCCTCCTGGGAGCTGAGGGGTCTGAGGCAAACAGCCATGCAAGGAAAGGAGTGTCCCTCCTCTTGGCTGGAAGGAACAAAGCTCCAACAACCAAGCAAAGCTGCTGGGAAAGACAGAGGTTGAATAAAAGGATTGTGGGATGAGGGAGAGCAAGAGAGCAGATGTAAAACTTTCTGTGGTGAAAGGAGCATGTTTCCCTTCAGTTTTGCTGGGGAGTATTTGTTTTGCTTTTTCAAGAAGAGGTCCCCAGCTTCTCTGTGAAGAAGCCTGGGCTGTGTTCTTCCTCCCACCCAGGCCCTGGTGTGCCTGCAGGGCTTGAGGCTTCCTTATTCCTGACACAGCAGTGGGGCGTTGATGTCTCCGGAGCAGCTTCCATCTGCCAGGGTGCCAGGGTCTGCGTGGGAGTGCAGAGCTCATTTCATGTGCAGGATATGGGAGTGAACAGAGCACTTACAGGCACTTCTTATGCGCTGCAAGAGAACGTGTTTGGGTTGTAAATAGAGCGTAAGTCACACTGCTCTCTCCTTGTGTGGGCACAGAGCAGCCTGGCACCCGAGCGGGTGGCAGCAGGGACACTGCAGGTGGCAGTCAGGACACTGGGTTGACGAGCAGCACTTTTCCCTGGGGATGTGAAAGGTCATGGATGCACCCCTGTTACCCCACAGCTGCAGCCCCTCCTGTGCTCCCTCCTGCAGCTCCTGCACTGTCGCCTCACGGGACCCAAATCAGCAGCTCCTGCAGAGATGGAGGGGGCAGTGAAATGGGGTGGCATGTTCTTCTCTCCCAGGCATGGGAACCTGGAATCCTGTAAGGATCTTCCTGGGATGGTTCTGGCTGCCCAGCAGTCTCTCTGGTGTTTCCAGGTGTCAGTTCCCAGGTGTGGCTGGGCAGGCTGTGGCTGCTGGTGACCCCCCTGCTCTTCACTGCCCTGCATGGACTGGCAAATTCTGACCCAGGCCAGCAGCACAGATCAACCCCAGGCACGGCTGTGCTGGCAGCAGGATCTGAGCCTTGTGTGTGGTGCAGGGTCAAACTCAGTGGGCTGTTCTGTGACTGGAGCCAGGAAACATGTTCCTGGGCTCTTCCTGTAGAGCAAAGGGAAAAAACAGCTAGGGAACATTTTAGGCACTGACATATTCCCTGTAAGTTTGGAGCTGGATTCTTTCTCCCTGTGATAATTCTTTTCCTGGCTCAGGCCCCTGGTGTCCATGCACTCCATCATCCTGGGGAGCCACATGTGGCCCTGGTGTGAGCACCATGAGCTGTAGGGCCACTGCATTGCTGGGTGCTGGAGCCCTCACTGGAGGAGAGCTCAGAAGCTCCTGACTCAGCAGGAAGGTCTGCTGTGCCACTGCCAGCTGAGGGCCCGTGTCACGAGGCTGCAGTTGCTCCCTTCTGTGTGTCTGAGCAGCTGCAGAATGAATCCTTACACTGGGCTTTAGGACAGGTACCTCTCCCAAGGTGCTGCTGTGGATGAGGGGAGAGAGCCCTCAGCTTGCACAGGGAGCACAGGAGCACCCTCTCCCTGACCTGTGGGAAAAGCTAATCCTATGCCTGCACTGCTGTACACCTGCTGTGCCCCTCATGTGCTGCCCTGCCCTGCCCAGCAGGGAGGGAGGTCTGAACTGCAGAGCTCTGGGGTCTCACAGAACCACTCTGGGATGTTCACAGGGCAAGAAGGAACCTGGGACCCACCAGACCTGTCCCACGCTGTGCTGAGCAGGCTGGCACTGTGGGAAACTTCCCCATCAAACTCCCAGGTAGCTCCCAGCTACACTGGGGTGATCAGGTTGTTGCCCCAGGCAGCCAGCACACAGCCACACTACCTGCATGGGCAGGTGTTTGCCCAGCCTTGCCTTGCAGCCCAGAGAGATGGGAGTTTGGCTTGGCACTGTCAATGCTCTGCTGCTGAGAGGTTTCCTCCCATGGGACAAATTCAACCCCTTCCCAAGTTCTCCTTTGATGGGCACGGAGAGGAGCTGCATGTTCCTCCTTGGTGTGGGGTCAGCTACTCCCACCTACTCTTTTATTTCCCCAAGCTGAATTATTCTTGTTTCAGTTTGTTAAAGGAAAGGTTTTCTGCTATTTTCATTGTAGTTGGACTCCAACTGATTATCAATGAGATCTTTTTGTTTAACTTCTGACATTTTGGGGAGTGGTGTCAGTGTCTGTGTCATGTCTACACCTTCTGCCTTTCCTCCTGTGCATGGACTTTGTGCCTCCTGGTGCTGCGTGTGATCTTTGTCATTCCAGGCCATTTTCATTTGACACACTTGTCCTGGTCCTGGCAAGCACCTGCAGCTCTTTCTGGGACAGAGGTGCCAGGCCCATCCTGGTGCTGCTGGCAGCTGTCCAGGCAGCCCTGTCCTGCCCAAAGTGACAGGGCCTGTCCTGCTGCCCTGGGGATGGCAGCTCCCCTTCCCCCTGTTTGGCCTTTCCCTGCATTTGCCCCTTCTCTGCCACCTGTATTGCCATCTCTATAACACAATTACTAATAAAAGCCAATTAACATCCTCTTACCTTCCCAGGGCCTTCACTCTTTCATTGCCTTCACTCCTCTCCCTTGCATATATAAATACCCCTCAAGGCCAGCCTGCACCTGGCATTGCCTCACAGTTTCTGCCAAAAGGAGACACCTCTTGGTTTTTTTGCCAGCCTTTAGATGGCCATGATGGGGGTGCAGCAACATTGGAGTGTCACATGTGTGACTGATGTGTGTCACACACTCCAGTGCCACATCCCAGCTCCACTGACGTGTGTCACACACTCCAGTGCCACATCCCAGCTCCACTGATGTGTGTCACACACTCCAGTGCCACATCCCAGCTCCACTGACGTGTGTCACACACTCCAGTGCCACATCCCAGCTGCACTGACCAGCCTCTTCTTTTCTTACAGCCGAGTCCTTTAAGGAGTTTGCAGAGCTGCTGCATGAAGTGGAGCTGGAGAGGTCCATGATGGTAAGGAGATGGGAGCTGGGCTCTGTCATTCCTGACATGGCTGAGTGCCAAATCACAGCCACAGCACCTTGTGCCTCGGTGTCAGGCTTCTCAGCAGTGAGAGCCCTGGGAATGTGCTCTGTACTCATCTGGTGCATGGTGCCATGGCCGTGGGCCCTGAGCATGGGCAGGCACAGCAATAGGTGTGGGGGGCTGTGGTTCTCCCAGGCAGCACAGACAGACACAAAGCCCCAGGCCCTGCAGCTGGAGGGGCTGCTCAGCAGCTGCTTCTGTGGACAAACCAAGGGTTAAGGAATAAGAAGTGTTTTTGCTCAGTTTTTGCTGGGTGCAGGAAGGCAGGTGTCCCTAGCCCATCTGTGCTGGTCCAGCTCCTGCAGTGCAATGCACTGCCATCAGCTTCCTGCTGCCATGTGCCCTCAGCTCTCCAGGGCTCCTCCAGAGCCAGTGCTGGCTTCCCATTTCACTCCTAATTCCAGGAAAAACATGAAGGTTAGGCTCGGTGGAGAGCTTACAGCATGCCAGGAATGTGCTGCTTGGCTCTGCCTTCCCCTGCCTCGTGCAGCAGCAGGAGCTCCTGCCAGGCTGGGCCAGAGGGTCCATGGGCAGGCAAGGAACAGCAGGAAACCAGGAGAGCACTGAGATACTTCTTTATAATGAATTTCATCCCAGGTATAGTGGCTCCTTTGGCAGGGGAGGGCAGTGGAAGGTGTTGTTTCAGGGGTTATAGGCACTGTCCAGTTTTCAAAGTTGAGGTTTTTTTATTTCTACTTGTAGGACCAGTTCTGTTTTACAGCAGCTCCCTCACTGTGTTCATCAGCTTTAAGTTCCCTGAGGGGCTGTGCTATGTGGTGTCCTGTCCCCTTCTCTTCCCCTCTCCCTTCCCCGGAGCGTGGGGCAGAGCCTGACAGGGAAGTGGAGATGGGAGGAGACAGCAGGCTGGTCCCAGTGCCAGCCTGGAGCTGGAGCCAGTGGTACAAACTGGGATGAGTTCACTTTCCTGTGGATTCATGGTAAAGGTGTGCAGAGCACCATCCAGGAAAGCATCTCTCATGAGACAGGAGTGAAAGAGGCAGGCTTTCCCTTTTCCCTGGCTGTTCTGTGACAGATAACCTGGCAAGGGAAGCCCATCCTTTATTTTAGAGCAGCCTTGTTAGATGGGGTGGGGGACACTCCCTGTCACCCACAGGATGTCCCCAGAGCCTCCTGGGATGTGGTTGGGGTTTGCTGTGTGTCACCTATGGGGAAGAGCGGGTACAGACGGTTTAAGTGAATTCACCTACAGACAGAGAAGAAGTTTCCAGTCAGAAACATTAAAATCTCAGAGCTCTTGGTTTCTAGCCCTGTTCAGCCTCTGTTTAGGAGAAAATTGATCAGCATCCTGCAACTAAAATGTTTTTTCTTTGCACTGTAGGTGCAGAATGCAAGTGATTTGCTGATCAAACCTTTGGAAAACTTTCGGAAGGAGCAGATAGGGTTCACCAAGGTAAGGCTTGTTTGTTTTCAGTGTAAACAGATTTGTTTTCTGTTACTGTCTTTGAATTCAGATTTTTCTCCTGTTGTTGTTAACAAGCAGTTGCTCTACTGCATTCTGACTTCAGGCACTCAGAAACTCTCTGTTCAATGCTGGCTTTCAGCTGCTGGCATGAGGGTTCGTGCTGTGACTTTTAGTCTAATTTTTCAATCTTAAGAGTCTCCAAAATCTTTTCCTGAATTCTTTGGGTTCTCTCCTGGCTTGATTCCAGCACTGCCTCTGTCCTGAGCCAGGAGTGCTTGTTTCAACCAGGAGATCCTCCTTGCTGCTTTGCCTCCTCTCCCCTTTGTTCAGTCAGTGCTATTGAGAAGAAAATACTTTCTGCAGAGAAGTGTGTGGTAGAGTGGGAGGGAGGGAGGAAGGGAAGGAGGGAAAAAGGGAAAGCAGGAGAAGCCAGCAGGCAGAACCTGATTATAGTCATAGGGCTTTTGTTATGAAATATTTACATAAAGCATCTAATGAGTCTTTCAGATGGACCAAACTTTTAAAGAAACAAGCTATAAAAAGCAAATTCTGCACATGTGGAGCACAAAAGATCATTTTTCCCTTGTCTGCTATCAAGAAATCCAGGTTCCATGTTACTCAGTGGCAGCTTAAAATGGGGCTGGCTCTGACCCAGCTCTGAAATGGAGATGTTTTGGAGAACACTTGAGGCTTGGATTCAGCCCAGCCCATCTGGAGGCTTTGACGTTTAATAAATACAGGGTTAGAGAAGAGATACTCGATGGCCTCCTGCCCTTTGCCATGCCCTGAGGGCTGGTGTGTGGAGCCCTCTGAAGAGCTGCAGCCACGAGCATGGCACAGGGGCTGCCCATGGCCCCTGCTCTCATATCCTTCATGCTATTTTTATCCCAGAGAGCCCTTAAGGTGTGTAAGGGCCACTTTGCCCACAACCCTGAGAGCCGAGCTGCCTGCACCCACAGGCCTGGGCCCATGTCCTGCTCCCTTCCCTGATGGCAGGCACGGGTCTCAGCAGGGCTGGTGCCACAGCCCAGCACTGACACGGATTCACCTGGCAGCCTGCAGCCCTTCCTCAGTCCCTGTGGATGGGCAGGGTGCTCCAGGTGGAAGCACAGGTTGGTGACAGTGGCAGGACACTGCTCAGAGCAGCTGGAAAGGTGGCAGAGGACAGGGGGTTTTGGAGGTGGCGCAGCCATTGTAGTTTGGTTTGGGGTTTTGTTTCTTGTGAACATGAGCTGCAGAGGTGCCAGGGCACTGTGGGGGGAAGAGGGCTGTGCTGTGGCTCAGCACACGTGCTCCATGCAGGAGCTCACAGGACAGTACCCTGCACCGTGCCAGGATCCAGCTGTGCCCACGCTGGCAGGGATGCACAGGGAGGTGCCACTGTCCCCAGTGCCACCCCAAAGCCTTGAGAGTTTGGGAATGAGCCCCAGCCACTCCAGGCCTTGTCCTCAGCTCTGATGCTTCCCTGACAGCAGCCTCTGCCACACTGCACCCTCAGGTGTCACCTTGGGCACAGAGCCTGCCTCCACCTGCCAGCCTGCAGAGCATCTCCAGGCCATCCCCAGCTGGCAGCAGGAGGGGTGAAGGACAAATGAGGCTCCTCACAGCCGTGCTCTGTCAGTGTGGGCTCCTCCCATCACTGCTGGGCCTGGGAGGACCCTTTCTGATCTGCACCAGGGGCAGAAGCTCAGGCTGGGCTGTGGACCAGCCTGGAGACATGACACAGGGAATTTGTGCCCTCTGCTTAGTTTCCATATTTTGGCAGCATCGCCTTCTGTGAGATGTTTTCTGTTCCCTTTGCGAGCTGCTGGAGCCAAATAGGAAGAGCCCTTGAATCGGGGCTTTGTGATGCCTCTGGCTGGAGCACAGCCAGTCTGACCAGCACATCTGAGTCTGCATTCAGCCGCCCTCCCGGAGGAGTGGAGTCTCCTCGGGAGGGTGTGCTCCCGCTCGGGGCAGCCCCGGCTGTCCCCGGGACCCCCTGCAGCCACTCCCTCCCGCCACAGCCCCACGGGTCACTGCTTCTCCTGTCACTTGCTGTCAGAGTGAGTGACTTGCCACATCACAGATAAAAGGGAGGATCTGGGACCCCCTGAGCTGACCCATTTCCAGCTCTCATGGCAGGGGGTGAGTGTGGGAAGAGCTGGTGCCTATGGAGGCTCCATCCCTCCCTGTCCATAGCCCTGGGGCTCAGCTCCACCCTGTGGGGCTGGGACCCTTGGGGAAGAGCCTGGTCACACTTACTGAGCTGAGGAGGATTTGAATAGAAAAGTTTAATTCCAGTTTCACTTGGAAGGAGACAGCTTTTTTTTTAAAAGACACAAAGCAAACAAAAAAAAATCAGAGGGAAAAGCTTGTTGGGATGTACTGTAAGGGCAAGAGGAATGCTGAATAGCTGCAGTGTTTGTCAAAATTTCTTCCATAGGAGATAAAATATTCCTAAAAGGTCTTAGTAAATTCTGTTATTAATTTCATTAATTATAATTTTAAAAGAAATGGAGGTTAATAACTTCTACTTGCCTTCATCTCTGGGGGAGCACAGCCTAAGAGGCATTTGAGAGAAAGCAGTGGGTGAGGGAAAAACACCAGGATGAACTGAGTGTGCTTTGATAGAACTGCTCTCTCCACACCCCTCGACTTTTTAGAAATCTGTTTTTGAATTAACTGCTGATTGATGCCTTGTAAAAATGAGCTGTGATAATCCTGCATGCACTGCTCTTGAACCCAGACCCCTCAGGTGTGCATGGAGGTGGGGGCTCCCAGCAGGAAAAGTGTCTTTGATTCCTTATGGAGAGGAGAAATGGCCCATGAGCTGGGCTTCTCACTTGCCACTCACTCCACCTCCCCAAAAACGGGAATTTCAGAGTATCCTAATTAGCAATTAATGGTTAAGGGGGAGTTTTGGCAAGTCTGTTTGCCCTTTTCCCCCTGATGAGCTGGATCCAAAGCTGCCAAGGGGCTCCAGTGTCACCCAGTGCTAGTGGCAGTCGGGGTGTGGGCAGGACCTGGCACACACAGAGCAGCCAGAGCTGCTGCTGCTGCATCACCTGCCTCAGCAGGCAGCCAGTGCTGTGCCCCTGCCACTCCTGGGCACAGCAGTGCCTGTCAGAGCTGCCAGCACAGGGTGTTTCAGAGCACCCTCCTGCCTGCACTCGTTGGGATCTTCTCCCTTGTCCCGGTGAGCAATAAACGGAAGGTGGGTGGTGGCTCTTGGACTTGGCAAAGCTTCATGGAAACGTGGTGCTGCCCTTTGCTGAATATTCATGAGGAACTAATTTGTGCTCATGTTTCCAGATTGTGCTTCAGTCTGGGTGGTTTTTTTGTGTTGGTTTTTTTTTTTTGTCTTGGCTTGCTCTGGTCAGCAGCCAACTCAGAAGGATTTGTAGGTCATCCTTCTGCTGTTCAGTTATATGCTAATTAGCCAGAGTGGGAATGATTGGAAAGCTCCCTCTTAGTGGCCGAAAATGCCACGCTGCACTGTGGTCCTGTCACACATGGGTCCATCTTGGACATCATTCCCAGTCCCTTCAATGCCCAGAAACAGCTCAGTGCTCTGTGTCCCCAGTGTGCCCCTGCCTGCCTTGGGTGCTGCCAGAGGAGGAGGCACTCCCCAAAGGAGTTCATGTCTGGCTTCCCAGCTCCTGCTGCAGAAGGAGCTCCACTGCTCTCCCAGGCTCTTCCTTTCTCTTCACCAGTCTTTCCTTGAGCAGAGGTGACCCCTCTTCCTCAGAACCCACCATGTCCTCCCACAGTGAGCTGCCCACAAGCTGGTGACAAAGCTGCTGCCCGCTGGTTTGTGGTGTCCCTGTGGCTGCAGGCTGTGGCCTCCTGTGGCCACGTGCCTGGGCACCACAGCCTCCCACAGCAATGTCACCTCTCCTGGGGACAAGCCAGGAGCCTCATGCTCCCAGGCTGCTGCATCCAGAGGCACATTCCCCTGCCCATCCCATCCTGCTCCCTGCCCATGGGCTCTGCCATGCCTGCCCATGGTGGGACCAGGCTCTGGTGGTTCCCTTGCCCTGTGCTTCCCACAGCTCCTGGCATAGTTGAGCAGCCTCCCAGATGGAGAGGAGGAGAGGTTGGCCCCAGCTCTGGCCTGCAGTGTGGCTGTCTTCCCTGGTGGCCTCTCCACAGGGTGGGGACAGCTGAATCACCCTCTGAATGCTGCTTGCTGGTGGTGAGGGGTAGGAGAGAACTCCTGGAGTGGGCTCCAGCCCCGTTGCTGCTGCTCACCCACAGCTCTGCTGAGGAGCAGGGATGGCACCCTCCCTGTGCTGCCACCACCACCTCTGCACGCCACCCTGCTGCAGACAGTGGAGCTCTTGGTTGGGTTTGCAGCTAGCTTTCTATGGCAGCACCTGCTTTTCTCTCAGGACCTGCTGCTGGCACAGCCATCTCCTCTGAGACGTGAGGAGGTGGCCACAGGAGCACTGTGCCTGCAGCCCCACAGCTCTGCTTCCCTGCTTTGTGGCCTTGGAGGCTCCTCACTAAGGAAATAGAAACAAGGCTGTATTAGAGAGGGCATTAATGGCACAGACAGCCCAGGAGTTTGACCTTACAGACACGGGAACTGCTGCTCCACAAACGCTTTCGCTGCTCTGGCTTTGGGTTTGCTGCTCAGGGCCTTAGTCACGAGGGTGGTGGTTTATTTTGGTCGTCCTTCCTGGCTCAGCCCCGTAGTTCCTGCACTGCTTAAATTAGGATTCACCCTAGGAAGACTCTCTGTTCCTCTGGATTTGATGTAGATCTCTCTGTGTGAGGCTGCTAACACGGAGTCACAGTACCTGATATTGCAGGGGGAGATTCCAGAGGATGCACTTCCCTTCAGGTGTCCTGTAATTCCAGGGTCTGCACGGCAGGATATGTAATTGCTGAGGTGAAAAGGTTTGCTGGGCTAAGCCTGCCCTGCTCCAGACACTCACACATAAGCAGGGGTTGGTGCCACTTCCCCATGGTAATTGTGCTTTCACTACAGCCATGTGGGGACTCTCATGGGGAGAGAATCCTCTTCCCTGGAAGGCAGCTGGCAGGAAGGCTTGTTACTATTATTGGTATTATTGGGAGCCACCTGTGCTGAGCCCAGGGGTTTTGGGAGCCCCCAGGCATCCTGCTGCAGGGCATCCTGACAGACAGATGAAATAGGCTGTGCAACTGGAACGGGGAAGCAAAACTTCAGGCAGGGGAAGCTGTGGTCACTGCAGAATTCATGAGGAAAGTTCCTAACACCCAGCAGTCTGGCAGAGCCCATCTGCTCTGGCTTGTGGTGACACTGGTGTATGCTTGCTTATCCATGCATTTCTGAGTGGGGGCAAGAGAACAGGATGTCAGGGCTTTCAGGAGATTGATGTTGAAAGATGCCAGTAATTCCCCAGGAAGCTGGAACTGCTTTCCACTTTCTTGAGCTTTCAAAAGCCAGACAGAAGATCTGGGCATCCCATACATACCTGCAATGTGTGTACACCAGCTCTCAACTGCTTGGACCTGGCACTGAGGCTGCTGCCAGGCTGGAATTTCCTGATTTCAGTAATTTAGTTGGCTCCCAGGAATCCCTGATATGTCAGATACCATCTGAAGTGGGTATTTGTCAACCTGGCCCCTACTCTGGTTGCTTTGTGATTGCCAATGTCACAGTCAGTGCATGCAGGAGCCAACAGCCTGCTGCTCAGTTCTGCTGCTCCCTGCCTGCTCTCAGGGGTTCCTTCTTGAGTGTCTCTGTTTGCTGCTTTTGCTCATTTGTGCTCTCTTTGCAGCACTGCTGAGGCAGATGAGGATTTCCTGCCTGCCTGTCAACCTGCCAGGCTTCTTTCCTTCTGGTACTCTCAGAAACAAATTATAAACTCTTTAGAACAGAAAGTTGCCAAAATCTAATGAACCTTTTCTTGACCTTGCTGTGTCTGTGACATTGCAGTTGTTTCTGGGCTGCGTGAACAGCATGTCAGGAGATGGTGAACAGGTTTTTGATGTATGAGCACATCTTCAGTTTACTGGATACTGAAGAGATTGATGGGGGTTTTGCCATGATGTTGGCTTGAAAAAATACTTCTTGTGCCACAGAGTATTGCTAGACTGGGTCTTGAGGTGTAATTGCATCCAAGGTAGGCAAAGGGCTGTGAAAGCAGATTAAATGAAAGTGACCTTCTGTTCTCTGGCTGGGTTGACCAACATTTTTCCATGGGAATACAGAATTGCACAAAGAATCTTGGTGTTGATGCATGTTCTTATCTGGAAAATGCCAGTAACTGGTTCTGCTTCAATCTCTTGCATCAACAGGAAAGAAAGAAAAAGTTTGAGAAGGATGGTGAGAAGTTTTACTCTATGCTGGATCGCCACTTGCATTTGTCTTCCAAAAAGAAGGAATCTCAGTTACAGGAGGTGTGTATGGAATTTTTCTCAAAGTTAAGTCCAGAAGCAACAGCACCAGCTGCTCTAGGTCTTAAAAAAGGAGAGGAGTCATCCGTTAAAGTAACCATTTAAAATTGATAATCAATTAAATCTACCCAAAGCCTGGATTGTCTGTGAGACTGGGGAAATCAAGCTCGTAGTTCTCCTGTGCTGTTGGATACTGGCTTCAGACACTGTCATTGCTTGTTGTCACCTTGATGGTGAAGGGCAGTGACCAGTGGCACTGGCACAGCTGGGACTGGCCACCCTTTCACCTGGGGAAGTGCTCTGGCTGAAAGGTAGCCAGTTATTATTCCTTTTGCTGGCCTGGTGTCCTGCCTTGCTGCTGGTGCTTTTGGGTGGCTGTGGGGGCAGGCAGAGGAGGGGGTTCCTTCCAGCTGCTGCTGCTGCAGGCATGTTGCAGCAAGCAAGGAAAGCCAGCTGTTCCAGCCCCCACCAGAGCAGCTGGACATGGTCAGATCTGTCAGACCAGTTGTCAGATCAACCTAGGAGCATCTCTGCAAAGCACACTGTGTGTGAGCTCTGGGAGCATTGTGTGCTCCTGCCACTGCTGCAGCTGCACAGCTGCTGGTTCTGGGACACAGATGGAGTCAGGCAAGAGGGTGGTGATGGTGGCCTTGTCAGGAGAAGAGGTTTGTGCTAAAGTAATAAAAGAGCTTTGGGAAAGCCTTTTCCTTGCAGAGTGAGAAGAGGTTTTGGATCCTTGAATGAAAGGGAGCCAGAAATGGGCAGACTTAAAATAATATCCAGTGTTCCAGCTCACAGCTGGGCTGGACACCAGGCAGGTTTTCAGTGAGGACAGAACTATGTGTGGGCTGGTGGACAAAAGTGAGTCAAATATTTTCACACTACATGTGATGTATTTTCTTTTTCCACCTTTCCCTCTTTCTTCTAGGCCGACCTTCAGGTGGACAAAGAGAGACACAATTTCTTTGAGTCCTCCCTTGAGTATGTGTACCAGATCCAGGAAGTACAAGAAAGCAAGAAATTCAGTATTGTGGAGCCGGTAGGAGCTTCCTTTTCTCTCAGTCTCTTTGGTTGATGCTCAGATGTGCTGGCAAGGGATGAGTTACCAGGTTGGATTAGGTCCTGTGGGGCAGGAGCAAGGTGAAGCCCCAGCCCTGTTTCTTCTGGCTGCCTGTGGATCCTGAGGAACAGGTTGAACACTGTACAGAGCTACAGGTCTTGTTATGACTTATCTTGATCCCCCTGGGTTTGGTGAGTGCTGTCTGTCTGCAGAGGACAGAGGTGTTGCCTGCCCTGCTCACCTGTCCCAGCCTGGCCTGCAGGCTCCCAGACTGGCTGAGTGCAGGGACCCTGCCCTGGGTGGTGGCTCTGCCTCAGTGCCAGCTGCAGTGGAGTGTGGGATCCTGTGGATCTTGTGGTTATCTCTGCAGTTCTGCTCTGGGTCTCCCTGCAGGGTCTTTCATTCTGGGTGTCCAGTGCCAGCTGCAGTGGAGTGTGGATGATCTTGTGGTTGATCTCTGCAGTTCTGCTCTGGGTCTCCCTGCAGGGTCTTTCATTCTGGGTGTTTTATTTTTACAGATGTGTGGGTGGTAGCTTGGGCTTTAGGGACACTGTGGTGGATAAGGCATACTAAGGCTGGCATTCCAAAGTTGTGAGGAAAAAATAATTTCATTTATAATTCCTGAAACCCCACATTCTCCATCTTTCCTTCCATTACCAACACAGAAGTTCAGTGTGTCCCTTCCCTCCATTGCAGGTGCTGGCATTTCTTCACAGCCTCTTCACTTACAACAACCTGACAGTGGAGCTGACTCAGGATTTCCTCCCATACAAGCAGCAGCTCCAGCTCAGCCTGCAGAACGTGAGTCCCTGCCCAGCTGAAGGACTTTTCTGTGTGACTTCTGTTCTCATTTGTATTTACACACCTCTGATGGCAAGGTCTTTCCACCCAAGCAGTCTGGCCATGTTTGCATTGTTGCAGATACAGTTATTTCCTTCTCAGCTGACATGGGTTTTCCCCTCTCCTGCATGGGACAGTTCACAGGTCTATGAAATTGTTTTCTCTGGAAGGGGCTACTGCAGTTGCATCATTTAACCTGGTGCATAAAAAAGCCTGAGATTTTCTTTCAGTTTCACGAGATTGAAATTGTACTCTAAGGCCTCTAACCTTGGTGTTAATGGTACTGGCTTCCTGCAGGCTTGCTAGGTGCTTTGGTGAGCTCCTCTGCTGGCCAAGTGTGCTCATGGGGTAGAATATCTGAGTCCTGTTTTCTTTATCTTCAGTCTTTCCTGACTGGCCTTCCTTTCTGTGAAACAGCCATAAATCTGAGCCAGATGGTTTTGCTGCTGGCTCATTAATTGGTCCAAGTAGTATTCCATCAAAATGCCTGGATTTTGTACCCCTGTTGATGTGACTCTTTCATGCTAGCATACTCCTTTGGAAATCAACACCTCTGGGAGGAGAATACACCTGTTACCCAAGCAATGGTGTGAACAGGAGCTCAGGTGCTGCCTCTGCTCCAGCCAGCCTTGAAATGTGCTGAAGTTCCTTAATTAAGGGAACAAGTGGCCTCCCAGCTGTGGCACTCCAGCACCATCTCTGCACATGTTGTGTCTCTTCAATCATCCCTTAGAGCTCAGTGGTTCTTATAGCCAGTTTCCATGTGGATTTGTGGTTTCCATGTTTTGTACCTTGGGAATAGATTCATTTCTGCTACAGCACCTCAGATTTATCTAGGAATAAATAACCTGCAGCTCACTTTTTGCTCATGTTCAAGTATGCTGCTGTTTGTTTTCTGTTCCCAGACGAGGAATCACTTTTCCAGCACGCGGGAGGAGCTGGAAGATCTGAAGAAGAGGATGAAGGAAGCACCCCTAACCTGCAAGCTGCCTGGGCAGCCGACCATTGAGGGCTACCTGTACACTCAGGAGAAATGTAATGGCTTTGGGATGCAGCTGTGGGCTGTACTCAGCCCTGCTCACTGGGTGTCACTGCTGCCAGGCACAGCATGCCCAGGGTGTCACCTTCTGCCAGTTCCTGAGGTGCCCAGGGTGTCACTGCCTGCCGTGCCTGGGGAAGCACTGGCAGCCTCAGCTGGCAGCGCCGGCAGCAGTGGCACAGAGCTCTGTCCAAGTGACATACGTGTGACAGCACAGGGCAATTAGCTCCAGTGAGATGGGATTTATGAGTCCAGAGCCTGGAGCTCTGGCAGGCTCTGCCTTGGCTGTGTTTTACCAGGATGAATCTGGTGTCCTGCCCAGCCTCCCTCTGGCAGCCTGTGTGAGCAGCTGAGCACAGCCACGGTGGAACCAGTGCTGAGTTAAGCTGCTGAGAGCAAAACTTGTAATTCTGAGCAGAATAAAATCAGACCAAATACAGCCTTTCCCAAAACCTGGCTGCAGCTCTCCATGGCCATGAAGCAGGAATACTCAGAGGACATAAGTCTGTGCAAAACTCTGACCTCTGAGGCTACAGACAACTTTGTAAGCATTCATTCTTAATTCTGTATAGAAATCTATTTATACATATATTTGTATGTCTGTTTATCTTGCTTTTAAAAGAAAGCACACTCAGTAATTTTAGATCCTAAATGTGGCATGTTCCTGCAGGCCAGTGGCTATTTTCTATCTCTATTTATGCTTCCCTATAAATCTAGTATGAAAAGTTGCTCTTCCTGACAGCTGCAACTTAAAAACAAATTACAGAAAAAATACCAGTTGAATCATTTCCTATAAAGGAGTTCAGGTAAGAAAACAGAGGAAAGTGACTATGAATCTGGAAATAGGAACTTGAGAGTATTTTAAAGCTGCTGCTGTCTTCATTATTGAGTTTTCACCCACAGGAAAAAGTAGTGGGGTTTGTGAAACAGACATTCAGGACATGTGGGATCCTGTCAGTGTAGGTCTTGGCTGAGTTGGCCAAACCAGCCTGGCTTGTGGTCAGAGTCCCACAAACGCCCTTTCACCAGCTGTGAGCTGGGAGGTGCTGGAGGCAGCAGCTGCCCTGTGCTCCTCTTCTCCTCCCCTCCTCCTGTTTCTCCTCTCCTCCTGCTTCTCTCTTCATCTCCTCCCCTTTCTCTCTTCCTCCTCCTCTCCTCTTCTCCTCCTGACTCTTGCCCATGGAGACACCTGCAAGGGAGATGTCCCCTGGGCTGTCAGTGTCCATCCCCAGAGAAGGGAGGACATGTGGGCAGCACTGACCCTGCCCAGCTACAGCCCTGTCCCTGATTCCAGCCTCTCCTGTGTTCTGCAGGGGCACTGGGCATCTCCTGGGTGAAGTATTACTGCCAGTATGAAAAAGAGGCCAAAACCTTACGGATGACACCCATAGACCAGAAGCCTGGAGCTAAGCAGGTGAGGTGATGTCTGCAAACATTGGCCCAACCACTGGGCCCACCCATGTATGGCCTCCCTTCCCATGACAGCTGAGCCTGCAGGTGCCACAGAGCAGAGGGGTGGCTCTGTCCCCTCCCTGCCTGCACAGGGCAGTTTGGTGTCACTTGGAAGAGGCACCCCCGTGAGGAGAGGTCTCACTCCACTGTGTCCCTGGGAGCCCAGGCCCTGCAGGGTTTGGCAGCAGACGTGGGTCGTGTGACATGAGAGATACCAGACAATGCTGGCCTGTGAGTTCAGTCTGGGGTGAAACTTGTGCTTCTCTGGACCAGCTGATGTTGATCCTTCCCCTTGCACAGGGGCTGGAAGCCACAAGAACTGTGGCAGCCACTGAAGTGCCTGAATGACTCAAGTTACTACAGCAGTTACTGCTTCCAAATGCAGCATTTCCTCACTGTGTGCTCACAGCACTGGTTTGTGGCTTGATTTCTGCTCTCAGCACTGGTTCTGTGGGACTGGGACAGTGTGGGGAGAGGAGAGGTTAACAGTGCAGCTCCAAACTGCACCAAGGCAGCAATCTGGGTAACTACTTCTCTCACAGAGTGCTTTGGTTTACCAAAGTCTGGGAGTTCCCTCAGTCCCTCCTCGTGACAGGGGAGGGGTGGGAGGATGGAGCTGAGCCAGTGCCTCCAGCTGAGTCCCCCGCCCTCCTCTGCCATGGAGCGGGTCCCCGGGGCCTTCCCAGCCAGGCCTGTGTGCTCCAGTGTGTGAGCTCATGCTCAGCTTTTGGCAGGGCTCTGCACACTGCAGCAGGAAAATAAAATAGATGTTTTGCAACCCCTTGGCAGAGAGCTGGGCAAAAAAATATACAAACTATTGTATGGAGAGATTTGTTGTCATTTATGCCATAAGCATGTGTAGTAAGGCCCATTACTGCAGGTAGGGGCTCAGAAAGCTTAATGCCTTTCCCAAACACTGGCAGTCTGGTAGCCTGCACCATCAGGTCACAGCTGGCCACAAACCCACAATCAAATTACGAATTGACTCTGCTGTGGAGTGCAGGGGCACAAACACCCAGGGCCAGAGCTGAGCCTCTCCAGAGCGTGCCTGCTCTGTCTGGGGTGAGGAGATGTACCTCCCTTTGCCACACAGTGTTTGTGTAAAGCCCTTTGGTTCATTGCTGCTGTGGGTAGCTGGTAGTGATGATCAGTCCTGGTAAAAATTAGAACCCAGGTGTGTCAGAGCACGGGTGAGCGTGGTCCTGGCCTCAGAGACAGGGAGTGCCTCTCTGGCTTGTTTGGAGCAGTGTTCCAGCAGTGTAGGGGCAGTGCTGCTGTGTGGGGCAGTGCTGTTGATCCAGAACATTCTCTGGCTGAGAGCAAGCCTGGAACTGAGAGCCTCTGGTGTCTGTGATGATGGTGGGAGGCCCACCTGTGCTCCTGGTACCAGTGCCATCGGAGTGCCAGGACAGGCACCATGGGCACTGATGGGCTGGGCTGAGGGGCCTGAGGAGCCCAAACTCCCATGTTTCTGTCATCTCATCTTGGCTTTTATATTCTCTCCAAGGGCACCTTGGACCTGACCCTGAAATCCTGCGTGAGGAGAAAGACTGACTCCATAGACAAAAGGTTTTGTTTTGACATTGAAACAAATGAAAGGTGAGAGGCTTCGTGTCTGGCAGCCCCAAACCCCACGGGCCTGCAGCAAATCCCTCTTTGCTGTCTATTAAAAACAACTTTTCTTCCTTTCCCTGCCTGTCGCTGGGGCAATTCCGCGCAGGTCCGGGACCATCACGCTGCAGGCGCTGTCAGAAGCCAACCGAAGGCTGTGGATGGAGGCCATGGACGGGAAGGAGCCGGTGAGTGTTGCTGGAGCCGTGCCCAGCTGGAATGCGCTGCCGAGCAGTGTCCTCTGCCGGCGGCTGCTGCTCAGGATCAGTGCTGCACGATCCCCATGGGCTCCCTGCCCTTCCCTCAGCTCACGGTGGGGGTTTTGGGTCCCCCCCGAAATCTCGGGATGTTCCCTGCTGTGCCAGACCCCGGCCTTTCCGGGGCTGGTTCGCTCCTGCTCCTCACTGCCTGCTGGAGATGATGTTGGTCTGTCCCTGCTTTTAGCCACCTTTCCAAAGGTGTCACTGCCCACTCTGCACCCATGTTCTCCCACCTTTCTGTGCTTACTGGTGTTCCCTTCCTTCAGTCTGAGCAGAGCTCAGTGCCCTGTGGTTTGCCTACAGAACACAGAATTTTTCTTACAATAGGTGCCCCACTGAAAAATAGCAGAAACTCCTTGATTGTGCAGATAATGAGTTCTTGCCTAATTATAAAATGAGATTTTTTTTTTGTCTTTTTGGCTGTGATTGCCTTTGGGTAATCTGGGGGTGATTTATGGCATGTTGCATTTTCTTTTATTAATAAATACCAAATCATGCTGATGATGTTTTTGCTTCTCCCTCCCCCATTCCCACCCTTTTTTCAGATTTATCACAGTCCCATCACGAAGCAGGAAGAAAGTGAGTCACTTCTGTTGCTGTTCTTTGGGCTCTCACAGCCTCGAGGCCAGGCAGGATTTTCCTTGCAGATACACTCATCCTCAAATCCTGCTGAGTAGCACTGTCCCCACTCTGTGACAGCAGTGTCACTTCTGTTCTTGCACCACAGTGCCTGGCACTGAGCCCAGAGGAGAACGAGTTGCCCAGAACTGCAGTGAGCGGTTTTTATTTAGCCAGGAGCAGTGGGATGTGAGGTTCATTTTGCACCTCCAAACCCCAGGGAGAGATTCTGAGGATGTGTCCCTTAACAAAGGTTGTGATAGGGCAGTAGAGGTGGCATTGAGTTCCCTGGATCTCCCACCCACCACCATGTCCCATGTCCCCCCTCTCAGCAGTGGGGTGTACCCTGCAGAGCTCTGGAACCCTTCTGGGGGCTCTGTTAGCTCTGAAACCTGCATTCTGTCCCAGAGCTCCCTTCAGCAGCACTGTACTGTAACTAGCTGGCTGTAACGAGCACGGGGGGAGCATTCCCAGAGGCATGAGCACAAACCTGCTGTGTGGCCATGTTCACATTGCTGGGAGGAATGTGAATTAGGGTTCCACTGAATAAACATTCTCTATTTGTCATAGATTAAAGCTGGTAAGAATTCCAGTGGTATCATAGCCCTCAGTATCAAGCACCAGGTGGGTCTGTGCTTACTCCTGGGGCAGAGCTAAGAGACATCTGAGCTTGATGTTGCTGTTGCTCAGAGCAGACAGAATCAGTATAAACAACCTGCTGAAAATGCAGGGATCCCATAGGATTCCCCAGCTCAGTGGAGGAAGCCCTGTGCTCAGTTTTCCTCAGCACATCAAGCTGGATTGGTTTTGCTTTTTAATCCTAGTGATGTAGATAAGAAATTACACAGTCCCATGATGAGGAATAGCTTTAATTGCAGATTTTGCTCTGGAAATTATTATTTAAGTCTTCATCAGACACAATCCAAATAATTTATACTATTATTGTTATTAAATACCTTATTATTAAAGACAGGGAGGGGGTAGGGAGCAGTGCTGCAACTCAAGATAAATTTGAGGGAAAATGGGAGAACATGTGGAGCTAATAACTCCTTGTCAGGGTGTCCAGGACGCCGGTGTTTCCTGAGGGGATGTGGGTGCAGGTGTGAACACTGTGTGCTGGGGCACTGTGGCTCTGGGTGCTGAGAAAGGCTGGGCTGGGGCTGGGGTGGGGCTGGGGGTCCCAGGGGTCTCCAGGAGTGCTCAGGCAGCTAACACAGCTTCCTTGTCCACAACAGTGGAGCTGAACGAGGTGGGCTTCAAGTTTGTTCGGAAGTGCATCAATGCAGTGGAGACCAAAGGTGAGGAGCTCTCCCAGCCTGGCCGTGCTTCCCGTGGCCTCGAGTGACACTGTGGCTCCTGCAGTACAGGGTTAGCCACTTTTTCAGCTTTTGGCTGAGGAAGGTCTGTTCTTCAGGAGCAGAAATCCCACCTGCTTTGGAATGTTGTACCAAGTCAGTTGGGGTTGAACTTCCACCTTTATGTTGTTTTCACTTGTGTTATTCTCAGTTTTGGCCCTGAGCACACACAGTGTTGGGCAGGAGAAGAGCTCTGGCAGCAGGGGGGGCTACAGGCTGCTTCAGCTCCAGTCTGTGAAGCAGCAGAAACAGGTGGAAGGGTGGCAGCTCATCCTCTGGCCTGTCACATACCATCCAGTACCAGTGAACATCACCAGTGTGGGATGGGGGTCTGGATTAATCTCCAGATTTGGGGTTGAGGCTGTTGGGGCTGTGGCAGCCAAGGCCCACTGGAGTGCAGAGCAGTGGGGGCACAAAGATCTTGCTGGCAGAGCTAGAAGAGAGATTGATTCTGCCTGTCCCAGCACTGGCCAGTGTTTCAGATTCGACTTCAATGTCTTCTGTGGGGGTTGGAGCAAATCCATGATAAAGCAGCACCCCACAGAAATGGGGTGTGTGGGCTGGTGTGTCCCACAGCTGTGCTCACCTGGCCGTGACATGGTGACCACAGTGGTGCTGGTGGCCTCGGCTGCAGGGGTGAGCAGAACCCCTGCCTGCAGAGCCCAGGGAGTGGGACAGGGTTTGGGGTATGGGACGGAACCCGGGTAGTGGGACAAGAGCCGGGATATGGGACAGAACCCGGGGTGTGGGACAGATCCTGGGGTGTGAGACAGAACCCTGGTAGTGGGACAAGACCCAGGATATGGGACAGAACCCGGGGCATGGGACAGAGCCCAGCAACAGGAGAACATTTCCACTAGATGGGGCTTGTGGACCACCAGCGGGAAACCTCGGCTGACGCTCTTGGCTTTGTCCTCCTAGGAATCACCACGGAGGGCGTGTACCGGACTGTTGGCAGCAATATCCAGGTGCAGAAGTTACTGAATGCCTTTTTTGGTAAGAATTGATTATTCTGTGCCATTGCACTGTCGTGTTCTTGAATTGTTTGTGAGGGGCAGAGAGGATTGGGTTCCACAGTGAGAAATGTCCAGCATGGGTTTTGGTCCCTGTTACCCCTCTGAGGCTCATTTTCCCCTTCTTTCCTGGGATGACCCAATGAGCTGGAATGGGAGGGTGCCCTTTGCAGGCAGCCCTCCAGCCCAGTGTAAGGCTTTTGTCTGGAAGGATGGGGACACCTCGCTGTGTGCGGTGTGTACCATAAGGAGCCAATGTATGTTAAGAAGTCAGTGGATGCATTCCTGTTGTGAGCCTGCCTGTGGCTGGATCTGTCATACAAGCTTGGCAACTGAGGAAGTGTTTACAGTCCTGGCAGGCTGAGGGGCTCAGCAGCACTGCTTTGGGCCAGGACAGGCCATTCTGGCTGAGGCCATCGTACCCTCACCTCGTGGTCACCTGTCAGCCTCTCGGGGAACCTCTGGGCTTGATCCCCACCTACCAAGGCCAGACCTTTCTCCCCAGCCCTGCCTGGGGCTGGAGCACAGGGCAGGGATTGCATTCACCTCTCTGCCTGCGTGCCTCAGGCTCATGCCAGCTCAGACATCTGATATTAATGCAGCATTCTAAGGCTTTGGCTGCTTCCTATTGCTTTTACTCTGGATGTTGTTTATTAAAGTCTTGGTTTGTACTGGGTGTCTGGCTATGCCCAGCTCTCACAGAGCCATGACTTTGGGCATCTGCCCAGCTCTGCTGGCCTATGACTCATTGCTGAGCCTCAGGTTCCATTGCTGCTTGATTCTCACCCTCCCTGTGAGCAGCTCTGTGGTTTTCTCCTCTTGAGTCCCACCAGTGAGTGGCTTTTTATTTTGTTTATCTGCATGGGTCTGGCTAACCACTTGCCACCCCACTGCATATGAAAGCATAATGGAAAGTCCAGCACCACAGAAGTAACTGCTGCAGCAGGATTTCATCTTTAACCACTCAAAGGAGATAATTTATTATTTTTTTTTAGTCTCTAGTCCTATTTGTTTTCAAAAAGAAACCCTGCTGTTTATTTCTGTAGTCCAGCTTCCCCTCATCCTACAACTACATCCTTCACTTTGTGGTGCCACAGACATGATGTGGTTTGTCAGGGGGGGTAGGCAGGAGCAAATTGTCCTTCCATGCTGCTGGGCCTCCCCTGAGCTCGCTCCTCTCCGTGCAGCAGGAGGGAATGCTTCCAGAACAGCCTTCAGGGGAGTAGCTGCAAATGAGAGATTTGAGCTGGCATTCAGATTACTTTGGATGTCAGAAAGCTTGTCTTGGACCTGTTGAAATCTGTTGTTACTGCCAACCTTGGGAAAAAATAAACTGTAGAGAATATGCTCTCAGTGACTTCTCAGAACTGCTTTAATTTTACCTTGTGCTTCCCTCTTTGTCCTCATCAGCACCATTCCCCAGCCTCTCCAAAACCCTGACACTGGTGCTGTTTCTCTACCTTGCCCAGCCATGGAAATTAGGAGCTCTCTTTGTGTGCTGCTGTGGCTTTGTGTGTCTCGAGGGCAGACTGTTTATTAGCACCTCTAAATGAACTTTATTCTAAAACCTTTTCATTCTCCTTCCAGATCCAAAATGCCCTGGGGATGTGGATCTCCAGAGTGGGGACTGGGACATCAAGACCATTACCAGCTCACTGAAGTTCTATCTCAGGTAGCACTGCAGGTCACACCTGCCCCAAAGAGGCAGAGGGGACTGGGGCTGACCCAGATGAAAGGTGAAATGAGCTGCCAGATATTCACATCTGGCTGTTGAGAAAGGCAAAGTGACAAAGGCTTTGGGAAGAAGAATGATAAATATGGGTGCTGCAGAATCCCTCAATCCCATGGGGAGGGCTCTTTCACTGATATCGACTGCAGAGGGAGATGCCACTGGGACTTGGTGGCACTGAGGGATGAGTTTGCCTGTTGGTCCAAGATGGGTTACGAGTGGGTCACAATTGCCCTGCAGAGCTGAGTTTTCTTTCTGGTTGTTGCAGGAACCTGTCTGAACCTGTCATGACGTACAAGCTCCACAAAGAGCTGGTCCTGGCTGCCAGTAAGTCCCACAGCTTCCCACTGATGGTTCCTGGCCCTGCTCTCCCTAGCCAGGATCCATCAAAATCCCTTGGCAGAGCTCTGCCAGCCCACTCTGTGGTGTCCCTTGCTTCACCTGTAGAGAGAGCAGTGGCTCTCTTCTCCAAGTGCTTTTCTGTGCAGGGGATGTGGTGCTGGATGTTCCCTTCCCTCCTTTGCTCCTGCAGTGCCCTTCCCTCAGACAGGGTCTGTGGTCTCAGGGGGTCTGGAGAACCAGAGGATGTCACTCACTTGAAAGCAGCACAAGTCTGCCACAAGAATTGTTTCCCTCTAGTATTGATATATTTATTTTAAAACTTGTGAGGGAATGGGATGTGCTGCTGCCCCCCAGATAAGTAGGTGTTCCCTTTATGTTGTGAAATTTGTCCTGGGATGTTGAAAACAGTCCATGGAAGGCATTTCTCTGCTGTAGCTGTTGGGACTGAGTCGCAGTTGGGACTAACAGAGATCAGCCAAGAAGCTGCTCTGTGGCTGTCACCTCATTGTGGCCACTGCAGATAAGCTGGGACAGCTGTGAGCCAGTGCCCTGTGAGGGAGACAGGGATGCAGGGAGTTGGTCATCAACCTCAGCATTTGGAAATGTGTGGCATTAGAGCATCCCTCATCCCACTGTGCCTCCAGAAGTCACAGGGAGACTGGGAGGGTGCCCACTTTTTCTTCATGTGTCCCTCTGGAGAATGAATAACACCCATTTTTCTTGGAAAGGGAGATGTTCCACCTCTTGCTGAAGGTGATCAAGCCCAGGATTTATTAGTTTCAGAGCTGGTTAAAGCCATGATGGCTGGGTGTGGGCAGGACATTTACCCCTTTTCTGCCCTTCCTCAGAAACTTGCACCATTGAGCTTCCCAGCCACCAAACCCCACACTATTCTTTTCACACAGTGTATTTTATTGTTTCCTGATTATTTATTCTTCTAAGGGTGACCTCTTTGGGTCAGGGACTCAGGTTTTTTCCCTGCAGGATATTTTTAGGTGTTGTTCAGTGTCAGAGCTCTCTGGGCTCATAGACTCCCTGTGTGCTGCCCGGTGTGTGGAACAAGGATGCAAAGGGGAGGACCTGCCCATGCCCAGCCTCTTTTGGAGTGTGTCCTTGGGCTCCCTTTCAAGCTCTATTTCATTCTTTTTTCCACTTAATATTGTTTCTCACTATGTTCATCCTGTTGCTGTGACATCTCACTTCCCTTTGCTCCCTTTTGCTCCCATGCTGCACAGGGAACAGCTTCCCCAGGTTTCCTTTGGCTTTATATTTCTCTGGTGTATTTAGTTGGAAAGCATTGGGTATAAATTCTTCTTTGTGTTGCTGCTTTCCAGAGTCTGAGAACCTGGATTACAGGCTGGGAGCCATTCATGCACTGGTCTATAAACTGCCTGACAAGAACAGGGAGATGTTAGAGCTCCTCATCCAGCACCTTGTCAAGTAAGCAGATGTTTTCCTCTAAAAGCAAAGAAAGGGGAATAATGGAATCAGCATAAAAGCCTTTTTGGGAGTTTGGGTTTGCAAAATTTCACCCACTGTAGTCCCCTTGGGAATTTCCATGTGGATTGCACAAAGGGAGTGACTATCCTTGCTGCCCTCTGCATGGAGTGATGCTTCTCTTTCTGGTGGTTCCTTCCATCCTTTCAGATATGCACAGAGCAGGAAATTATTTAAAAATGAAAATACTTCTGAGAGCAGGAGCTGTAAATTGTCACCCCTCAGAAATTTATTGGAAACCACCATAGTGTGCTCCCTAAATTCAGTTCTCTTCCTTCAGAAGGAAAGAAAATTAAAGCCAGAAGTTGGTTATAGAGAAAAAGGATATAGGATTTAAATTATTCCTTTTGTGCATATGTTGTGCAGACAACTTTTGATTGCAGAGTTAAGGAGGAACTGGGAGTGAGAAGAGATCAAATAAAGATGCTGTCAGCACATTGCTCTCTCCAGCATCTGTCCAAGCCAAATGTGTGTGTCAGAGCTAGAGCCATGTTTGTCACTGCTGGAAAACAAATTCTGAAACACAATGAAGAAAACTGAATTACTGATTCTTAGTGTATCTTGGCTTTTGTTTCTTCGGGTTTTTTTTTATTGTTGTTGTTGTCTTTTTTTTTTTCCCTTGGAATAAGATCTGTTTGGAAAAAAAACAAACCAAACCAAACTCTGTTCCTCCTTCCCCTGCCCTCTGCAGCGTCTGTGAGCACAGCCGGGAGAATCTGATGTCACCGTCCAACATGGGGGTGATCTTCGGGCCCACCCTCATGCGAGCACAGGAGGACACCGTGGCAGCCATGATGAACATCAAGTTCCAAAACATCGTGGTCGAGATCCTGATAGAGCACTTTGGGAAGGTACGGGGCAGCCCGGAGCAGCCCCGGAGCAGCTCCGGCTGCTCCAGCCTGCTCCTGCTGACTGTTGCTGTGGCAACGCGGCAGCGCTCCGGCTCCTTCTGGAGTCTCCTTGGGCTGGCTTTATGTAACACTCTGCTCTGAAAGGCTTCAGGAGGAAGCAAAGAGTAGCAGGTGTGTGTTCCTCAATGTTGCTGTTGTCTGGTCCCAGAGGTAACAGTGAGTCTGGGCATTTTTGCCTTTTCTTTTTAAACAAGGGAAAGCTTTGTTGAAAAAAACCCTATTGTATGACTGCACATTACAGGGCTTCACTCTTTCCTTTTGCTAGACAGGAGCTAGGCCAGAGGAGAGTTGGTTTTAATGGGCACAGTCCAAGATGAGACACTGCACAACTGTTAAATCAGTGGAAAAAGCCTAGAGCAGACAAGTGTTGAATGGTTGATGAATTGTGGCTGCATTCAGACACAGACACAGGGGTGGTGTGGAGGCGGAATGGGAAGCCTGAGCGAGGTGCTCCCTGGACTGAGGGGGAGTCTGAGGGAGCTGCTGCCTGGGGTGGAGCTTTCAGAGGAGCTGAGGCTGATGCCCACGTCCCTGGGCCATGTTCTCACAGGACTGAGGGCTCTGGAGAGCATCCAGTCTCATCTGCCCTCCATGGATCTGTGCTGGGTATTCATATTTCAGCCTGAGCATCGCCCCTGTGCCCAGCCAGGCTCTGCTTGCTGGGATGGTGCTGAAGATGCACGTGCAGCCAGCAGCTTTGTCATGTGGAGCTCTGCCTTTGGAGAGCAGAGTGTTCCACTGTGTGTGTGCTCACACTGCTCTCAGATACCCGACACCGGCTCAGGGGTGTCAGGTGGCTGGGGATGACAAGAGCTGGGTGTTAATATTGAAAGCTGGAGCAGCCTTTGCATCCAGAGCAGCAGATCCTGAGCAGGGAGCAGATTACTGCCCTGGTAACAGCTCTGAGTTCCAAGGAGTGAGTTTGGTCCTCCAGCTTTTCACAGCAGAGACAGAGTGTCCAAACCTCTCTTGTGGAGCTGTTCATTCAGGGATCTCTTTGCTGTGAGGGAGCTGGGGCAGCTCCCAGCATACAGGGAAGCACATGGGCAGGGGCAAAGCTCCCTTTGGATAGGGAAGAGGCAGCCAAAGCTGGAACAGCAAGGTTCTTGCAATAGGGATGTGGAGCCAGAGCAACCAGCACATGGGGGTGTGGGACCGGATGAGGGGGTAGGAGTCGGCTGTGATGCCAAGGATTGAAATGGGATGGAAGAGCTCAGACAGGCTTCTGAGTACCCAGAGCAGAAGCTCATGGAAACACCAGCCAATTCCTTTGTAGCTCTCTATTAACACTTGTAATAAGTTCCCCCACAAAAACAGGGACTGGTTTGAGTCTGGGATCTCACACACTTGCTTCAGAGATGAGGCTCTGTGCTTCCCTCCTTACAGCCTGCAGCACAGTCTGAATCAACACACCCTGCCACCTCTGAGAGCTGGCATGACAGCTTTAATTAAGCCAGATGTCCTCTTGCTTGCTTTTAATTTCTCCAGCAATAAGGTTAAGTTAGTCACATTTATTGGATTGAGTTTATAAGTTCGGCATTGGAGCTGACAGAGTCTTCAGCTCACACATGAGCAAACAGCTCAGATGAGACTTGGAGGAAGAGGGGATGTGGGTTATATGGTGCAATCTGAAGACTGAGGACAGAGTAACTATTCATGAAGTGTTTGTGGATAATTGCTGTTTCCACAGCTCATGTTTCAATGCTGTGGTTAAATTAAATAGGTTGATTGTTCTGGAAACACCTTCTTCCCTGTACAAACCTCCTTAAGATGAGGGTCTGTCAATATCTTTGTACATTTATGTTATTTAACTTGATTTTCAATTAGAAGTAAATCAGAGCCTGCACCCACCTCTTAAACACAGTCATTTGTGGTTGGTTTAGTTTGGGTTTCAGGTGTTGAAAGCAATATTCTTTGGTACCTGTGTAAGTGTCCATGGGGAGCTTAATGTTTCTTTTAAAAGCAGGATTGGATTCTGCTCAGGATAGAGGGATAAAGGTTGATATTTCCAAAAAAATTCCCTCCTACAGGCAATCCTTTGCTGATTTAATAATACATGAGTTCTTTTAATTCATGTGCTGCTGTGTCACAGCAAGAGAGTACTCCAGTACTCCAGGCCTTGTGTTTTGGAGCAGGGAACATGTCTTGCCCCTGCCCAGGGCAGAGCCCAGCAGGCAGTGAGCCAGCACCCAACCTGCATCACCAAACCCTGAGTGTGGGGTTTTTTTCCCAGAGTGGGTGTGTAATCTTCCGTCACTGGAGAAATTCCAGAACTGTCTGGACACGATCCTGTGCCATTTACACCTTAGGAAAACCCTGCCTGAGCAGGGAGGATGGGTCAGATGACCCACTGTGGGCCCTTCCAGCCTGAACCATTCTATGTTGTTCCTCCTCTCCTCATGCAGATTGGGCCAGGCTGTCGGGAGCAAAGCCTGGTTCTGGCACATGGATTTATCCAAAGCCAGCCCAGGCTGGGGCAGGGCAGCCTGACCCAGTGTGGGTCAGGTGTGGGGAGCTGTCTGCCACTGCCCGCCCTCCCCAGGCACACGCTCGGGACCAAGGAATTTAAACCAGGGACGTGTTTTCCTCTCCCATCCCCCATCTTGGTCTCCTAGCCCTGTTGTTTGGCCAGGAGAGGAAAGAATATATTTTTGGTTTGAATTACCAAAATGAGGCACTTAATCAAAGCAGAATGTTACACTTCTTCATGTTAAGATTTTTCTGGGTGATGCAATTAGGCTGTTTTTCCATATCGAAGTGTGGCCCAAGGGTGTGGTGACCCAGCATGCCAGTGGGGCTGGCACAGCTCTCCTCCTCTGGGCTGCAGCCAGGAAGGGTCCTGCTCCACATCTACCAGGACAGGCAGTGCAGCCTCTGGGTTCAGCAGCTCAGGCCACCTCTCCATAGTAAGTCAGGCTTTAAAGTCTGATAAAACTTCAATTAACATCCCTGGGAAGAACACAGGAGCAGCTGCTTTGGGCCTTGATGGGGTGTTTCAGCTCTTCTGATGTATTTGTTTTTCAGCTCTTAAAAAAAGCCCTGACATAAATGAGAACCTCTCAATTAATCCCAACTCAATAGGTGCCATATGACCAGTGAGAAAAGGAGATAAAACTTCTCAGTAGCATTGCTTTTATGCCAGTATTTCATCCCAGGTAATTTCCTGGTGCCAAATGTGTCACTGTAAACCAAGAGCTGAAGGGTTTAGTGTTAGATCTGGAACAATGCAGGGCTGGTGTGGGTAATTCAGGGTTTGTATCTCTATGACCTTGAGAATCTAGATGCTGGTCAGGAGCTGTCAGCTCCAAAGTCACCCTCATCTGCTTCAGGGAAATTTGCTTCTGCAAGTTGTCTATGTTTGTGATCTCCTGAGCTTCAGGGACAATGTCAGTGGTGGGGACAGTGTCACTGGTGGTCACCATCACCCCCTGTGCTCAGTGGGGGCACCTGCAGCAGGAGGTGAGGCAGCAGCCCCTTTGTGCTGGGTCACCTGAACGTGTCTCCCTTTACAGATCTACTCTGGCCCCCCAGAAGACACCACAGCCCCCCCAGTGCCCCCACCCAGAGTGGCTGCCCGGCGGCACAAGCCCATCACCATCTCCAAGCGTCCCCTGAGGGAAAGACCTGTCTTCTTCAGTGCCTCAGTGGAGGAGAGTGGAGGTCAGTCTGGCTGTTCCCTGATGCCTTACCTGCTTCTCACCCCTCCTGCTTCCTGTAACACCTTTCCAGGAAAAGTGGAGGTAACAGGGGCTGCACTTTCCACGTCCTGGACATGGCAGGCAGTGAGGGCTGCTCAGAGAGAAAGGAAAGCCAAAACCACTCATACATTGTTTGCATTGTGTCACAAATCAGGCTTTGTGGGATTTGGGTTTTTCTGCTACCTGCTGCATGCTCCATTAGCTAAACTAAGGCTGGTTCTTGGCACAGGAGAGGCCCAGAGGAGAGGTTTTGTGATATCAGAGGCAAAAAGCTGCATGGAGTGTTGGTGGGGTAGTAGCCAGGGAGGGCTGTGCTGCAGGAGGCCTAAGGAGGTCTCAAGCTGGTCAGCTGCTGGCAGTTCCACATCCAGAGCAAGAACTCCAAAGAACTTTTTCAGGACACAGTGAAGGTATTTTCTAGACCAAGTTCTACTCTGACATTATCATAACAGCTTCAGCATTTCCTTACAGTCAGCTGGATTAACAGCAAAGGGCACATCACCTTAAAATCATGTTTCTGCACCTGATTTGCTCTAGTTGTCACTGCAGGCTGTGCCCTGATTCCACAGTCACCAAAGAGATGGAAAGTATCTTTCTCCATTAGTTTTCAGAGCTCTGATGATGTTTAGGTGTAAAGTGCACTTTGTGACACCGGCGGAACATGACTGATTCACATTGCTCTTTAAAACTCCCAGACTGCTAATGGAGTTGGGGCTGGCCTTGCATTTCAATGCTTCCTCGACCTGGGAGCAGAAGCATTTGTTCACCTTGGACCGCCCTGAGGTTGCAGGGCTCACAGCAGAGCTCCTGCTTGTTCCTGGCCCTGCAGCACAGCAGCAGGGGTGGGATGAGCGGCTTTTGGAAGTACACAGCTAACCCCAGGGCTCTGTGCCCTCTTGTCTCCGCAGCAGAGATGCTCAGCCAGACCCCCAACGGTGGCGGCGTGGAGGCCCCCAAGCCCCTGCAGCGCAGCCGCCCGCCCGCGCCCCGGCCCGGGGGGGACGAGCCGGGGCGTCCCCCCGCCGAGAGCCGGCCCCAGGCACGTGCTGAGCCCGAGCTGGGCAAGCTGGGGAGCAGGCTGCAGGATGGAGGGGCAAAGCCAGCCGGCAGGGCGGCCAACGGGGTGGTGACCAGCCCTGCCCTGAGGACAGCCACGCTGCAGGCCAGGAGACCGGCGCCCCGGCCGGGCATCCTTGGCAGAGAGGGTGAGTGTGCGCCGGGAGCCTGGCCAGAGCCAGGCAGGAGAGGTGCCCAAGTCAGCCCTCTCTGGGCAGGTGGTGGCCTCTCCCCTTGATGTAGTGGTGGTCCTCTCGATGTAGGTCCTCTTGATGTAGTTCAGCAGGAGTGTTCAGGGAGACCAGAACAGCCTACAGTGTGGGCGTGGGTAAAGTCTGGCACTCATTTCTTGTTGACTTGACTCTTAAAGACTTTTAAGGGTTAAGTGAATAGTAAGGTTGGCTGGATGTTGGGGAAGAAGTAGCTGAGGAGAGGACAGATAGTGAGTGTCACTGTCCAGGATGAAAGCTCAGCTGCAGGAATCACCAGCTGTGCTGTCCCTCTCCCGTTCACAGAGCAGCACCGCACAGGGTTTGGTTAAGAACACTTGTTTTTCCCAGGAAATATCAGCTTCACTGTCAGCAGCTACATTGAGTTTGTCCTTGCAGGTCCAGCTCCAGCCCCTGTTACCAGTGCCAGGAAAGCTTTTCTGGGACAGGTAGTGTGGGAACTTCCTTTTCCTGGACTCTGTCCCTCTATTCTGGCTGTTGGCCACTGTCAGTGAGAGAGTGTTGAGGCAGAGGGACAGAACTAAACCCATGGACCTGTTCAGTGCCCCTTCATAAATATCCGGCCTCTGCCAGAGCTTGCTGCTCAGTGTTTGTTATTTCCATCCCTGCAGGTGACTGTGACGGTGTCCCTAAGCCACGTTCCCATGGTGATAAGCCTGTGATAACACGTCCCCCTGTGAGACCTCCGGATCCACCGTGCCGGACTCCCGTCCCTCCAAAGCTGGAGCAGAGGCCAGATCTGATAGCAGGGACAGCAGAGGAGATGCCCTCATCTGTGTAAGCCAGCAGCCTGTGGAGGGTGCTTGGTGCTGTGGGGACACGTGGGGGCTCAGTGGCTGGAGCCTGTGGATGTCCCCTTGGCACCGGTGCAAGTGCAGGTTTGAATGTCACTTGGAAAGCTGAGCTGAGGGCACAGCCAGGGAGGGAGTGGGGCCACAGCAAGGGCAAACACGAAGCTTTGGAGCTGCTCAAGCACAGCCCCTGGGCTGAGCCTTGCCCCGTCCCCTTCCCTGCTGTTCCTGGGTTGGTGGAGCTGAGCCTCTCCCTGCCTGCCCCCAGCAAACCTCTCAAATGAAACACTTCCTGAAGCAGGACAAGATCCAGCTTGGATCTTCTTAAGGAAACTGGATGGAATTCAGCTTCATCTCATCCTCAGATTTCTTTCAGATTTTAAGAGTCAGAAACCCTGCTGGCTTTAGTGGGAATTAACCTAAAGAAAAACAAAAAGTGCCATGAGGGTGAGCTCTGTGCCAGAACTGCCTTAATTCCTTCTCCGGGATAATTTTAACTTCTCTTTGTTGAGCATGGGTGGGAGCACATAAACACTAAAGGAAAGACCATAAAGGGCATGGATGCACATAGGATTATAGGCAAGAGCACGGAAATAATGACTGGATGTGACACTTAGTGCTATGTTTTAGTTGGTGTGGTGGTGTTTGGTCAAAGGTTAGACTCCATGATCTTGGAGATCTTTCCCAGCCTAAATGATTCCATGATTCCATGGCTCTGTAAGCAGCCCAGCCAAAGTGCTAGCAGGTGGTGTGAGGGTGGAGCGAGCACAGAAGGAGCCCGGCTGTGCCTTGGCACAAGAACTGTCAATTGAAGGTGATCTCTGCAGTTCTGCCAATGCTGCAGCTCATTCCCCTGGCACAGAGCAGATCTCATTAGCAAATTGCCAGGTTGAATCAGAAGAGAGACTTCTCCTGTTTTCTTTGCAGGGTGGCCTCTAGGACCAAGTTCTTTGAGACGGCGTCCCGAAGAACAGGCAGGTAAGGCTGGCACGTGAAGGTGGCATGTGGAGAGCAGCAGCCCTGCAGCACAGGATGCTCCCTCTGAGACACAGCCAGCACAGACAGCCCCAGCCCCAGGCCTGCCTTGTTTTGTACTCATGAACAGCAGATGGGGTTCAGCTAAAGTGCTGGAACTAAACAAAGAGCACAAAGTGTAAAATGTGAGTCCAATACAGACTTGATAAGGTAAATCTGCCAAGTGAGAAAGATCCCTGTGGATCTCTGTTACCATGTGTGTGGATCTGCATGGTGTAGTGCCCGTTGTACTCAGGGTTTGTGGGAAGATCAGGTCCTGGGTGAGGTGATGAGGACTGGTTAGGTCCCAGCAGCTGCTGAGAGAGGATGGCTGGTCCAGCACAGGGGGTGTGCAGACAGGGAGCTAGGGGGTTATGAGGACACAGCATGGGCAAAGCCCTCAGCTCTGAGTGGCAGCAGGTGTCATTTGTGATAATATTTGCCCAAATAAGCCTCAGCTTCCTGCTTTGAAAAGCTGCCAGTCTCTGCCCAAGAGAGAGCAGGTTTGTGTGTAAGTCTGAGAACTGCTGCTGCTGGTACTGAGAGAGAAAACATTTGTGTTATTGCAAAACAGACCCTCCCTACCCCATTACCCAGCCTCGAGGAGCTTGTGGAGCTGAGTTGAAGCTTGCTTCTTGCACTCATTTTTTCTCTATTCTACTTCCTTTTATGCAGTTCCTCGTCACCACAAGGCAGGATCCCAAGTGATGAGAGCTGAGACTAAAGGTACCGTGTTTATGACAACAAATCAAATGATAAACTGAAAGCAGACATGTAAGACAAATGAGCATTTATGGGGTTGTGGGATTCCAGTGGTTCTGCCATTACTGGTGGGTTTGCACTTCTGCACAGAACATGAAGCTTGTTTTCTTCTTCCAGGCTTTGTAAACACACCTCAGCCCAGCTGGACCCAGGAGACTTTCTGTGCTTGTGACCCAGGAGTCAGAGCTGAGCCTTGCCAGCCCCAGTGCCCTGGAGAGCAGCTACCTTACCGGACGATGATTTCCGAGCCACAAGTGGCTCAAGAAATTAGGAGAGGGAGACCACAATGGAGAGCAGGTCCTGCCCATACATCTGTGTTGAACTGCCCTGCCACCTCTCCTCCCTCTCCTCTCATGTGTGCCATGCAGGTGATGGCAGCATGGGCAGGGCTGGGGGACACGGACCGCCCGTGGAAGGGAGAGTGGAGCCCCTGTTCACCTGCTCACTTTTGGGAAACACGCCTTGAAAAGGATGTTTGGACAGCACAGGGGCTGAGTCCCTGTGTTTGGATGCAAGGGCAAAACAGCTGCAGTGCCCTCTTGCCCTGCTTGCCTTGAGAAGCCCCTTCCTTTGTGCTTGTGTCCCTCACTTGGTGAGTGTCAGTGTGTGGGACAGCTGTGCCTGCTAACGCTGCCCATAGTGACACTGAGCAGGGATGGGGGAATCACTGTGCTCAGCTCTCTGGGATGTCTCCTCATCTCCTCCTGGACATCCCTGGCCTGGGACACTGCACTGACAGACAGGCTTGGCCTGAGCCATGGCCACAGCCTTGAACACTGCACTGACAGACAGGCTTGGCCAGGGGCTTGGCCTGAGCCATGGCCACAGCCTTGCCTGGGATCAGCTCTCAGGCAGCAGCCTCGGGTCAGCAGCCTCCAAGGGTGCAGCTGGGGCAAGGGGGCAGCAGGTGCTCCTCCTCTTCCTCCACTGCCCCCTCTTGAATGAGCCACACTCCCACCAGATCCACTTCTCACAGGCCCACCAAGAAGTCTCCATCCTGGGTGATTGTGGTGGCCAGCACAGAGGTGCTGAGGATCTGAAACTCACTGTTTGTGGGTCAAACCCATTGTTGTTTTGTTTTTTTTAAGAACTGCCCAGCTTCTTGTTTGTTTGTTTATTCATTTCCAGTACAAGATGCCCAGCCTGTCCCTCAGCCATGGCCCTGTGGATGATGCCCATTGGCCTGGGAGGTGGCCCTGGCCAGGTCCTCTGTAGCAGAGGCTTGTCTGTTGCTCCAGCTGCCACCAGGGCCCAGCTCCAGGCCTGTGCACGGCAGAGAGTTGCTTCCCCGCTTCCTCCACCCTCCCAAAGATGACTCTCTTCTTTTGAATGCTTTTCTTTAGGTGCTGAGAGCATTTGCAAACCAGTGGCCAAACATTCCCACAGCTGCTTCCCAGGTGCTCCATTCCCTCCAGCATGGTGTCCTGCCAGGTGCAGGTCCTTCCCACCTCCTGGCGCTTTGCCTCTGTGTGACCTCGTGTCTCTTATTGCTGAGTGGCACACAGCTCACGTGTGTCATGTCCATGGTGCTCTCACTCCCTTGGCTTCAGCAGTGCCCCAGCTGCTCCCTCCTTTAGGCCTGGCATATGAAAGTGGCTTTAAAACCAAACCAGCCCTGTGCTGTGGCAGTTGAGGCTGTGGCAGATGCATGGCAGCACCTGGGGCTGCGCTGGGCCCCTCCTGTTGCAGCCTCTCATTGTGGTGACAGCACACAGTGGTTCTGATCAGGGATCTCTGAACAGGTAGGATGGAGCTGAGCTGGAGTGAGCTGCTCTGAGCAGCCTTGCTGGGCCCCCCCTGCTGCAGCCCCTCACTCAAGGACAGTGCACAGTGGTTCTGATCAGGGATTTCTGAACAGGTAGGATGGAGCTGAGCTGGAGTGAGCTGCTCTGAGCAGCCTGGCACTGGGGCCACCTGCCTGCAGCACAACACCCTGGCCCTGTTGGGGTGTTGGGCCTGTGGCTCCCCCACAAACACCAGCCTGGCAGTGGGGCCACCTGCCTGCAGCACATCACCCCCTGGCCCTGTTGGGGTGTTGGGCCTGTGGCTCCCACACAAAAGCCAGCATTTGCCAACTGTCTTTCTTGCTTTGGGGGCCCCTCAAGCCTGTCAGTTTGGGAAGCTCCTTGGGTTGTGCCGATGCATGTGGCTCTGGAGGTGACATTCTGTGGGAACAATGCTTTGTCACATCCTCCTCCTGCTTGTGTCCACTGCCCAGCACAGACCCCCAGGACAGAGCTGGGCTCCATGGGTAGGGAGAATCCAAGGGTAGTTGGGTTTCAGTTTGACAGTGTAAGCAGTGGGGACAGGCAGCTTCTTGCAGACAATTTCATGGTGTTCTTTTAAAGTTCTTTGTCACTTGTATGTATGTGCTGATTTTTCCTGCACCTCTGGGTGCAGCTGAACACTGGGGACCAGCAGTTAGAGCGGTGGGGATGCTGGTTATGCTGGCAGGGGGCTGTGGGGTCCAATTCCTGCTGCCATGAGATACAGTCCCTGCTGCTGTGGGGCCCAATCTCTGCTGCTGTGAGCACAATCCCTGCTGCCAGTGGCCCAGGAGGGACAGCTGGGAATGTGGGATTGCCCTGTGCAGCCCCCAGCATCAGCCCTGGAGCCATAGTGATGTGTACAAGCTTAGGTTACTGCAAGTGTTTATAAAGTTTCCATGAAGTGAAACAACCATCTCAGTGTGTTTTGTTCCTCTTCCCCCCAGGCCCAAGCGCTGCCCCCACTGCCTCCCCCTCTGCAGGCACGCCTGCTGTGGGGGCCCAGTTCTGTGCCCCAGGGAGGCCACACAGGGCTGTGTCCATGGAATTGGGAGTGCCCTGGGCTCTGCCATAGCCCCAGTCTAGGTTTGCAGTCCCCAAAGATGGTTTTCTGCCTTTTCCTGACTGGAGAAGCTGCCCTGCCAAGGCTGAATATTCCTGCACTGCTGCAGTGCCTGGGACAGCATCCTGTGCCGTGGGTCACTGAGACTCCAGTTTTCTGTGACCACCAATGGCTTCTTTCCATCTATCCAGCCACTTTTCCCTTCCTCACATCTGTTTCCCCTGCCTTTTGACTCTGACATTGTGCACCAGCGTTTGCTTGTCAGGCCTTTCGCTTTTCTTTAACAGCAAGCCCTCTCCCAGGAGAGAACAGCTTCTCTCTCTGACATGGGAATCTCGCAGCCAGCTTTGGAGCCCGGATTTCTGGAGAAGCCTGGCAGAGGTGACCTCTCCAGAGGGTGTTCCAGGGACAGCCACGCTGCCTCCGCAGCCACGAGGGTCCCCAGCTGGAGAAGGGGAGCGTTCCCACCCACACCCTGCTCAGGGCTGGTCGGTGTTTTTGGGATCCTCCTGCAATTCTTTTGCGCGGGCCCGGCCCCGCCTGCGGGCTCTTGGTGCAGCAGGACCAGGTCTGCCAGGTCCCAGAGGCCCGTGCCGTGCCAGGTCTGCCAGCTCCCAGAGGCCTGTGCCGTGCCAGGTCTGCCAGCCCCCAGAGGTCTGTGCCGGGCCAGCTTTGCCAGCTCCCAGAGGCCCATGCCGTGCCAGGTCTGCCAGCTCCCAGAGGCCTGTGCCGTGCCAGCTTTGCCAGCTCCCAGAGGCCCATGCCGTGCCAGGTCTGCCAGCCCCCAGAGGCCTGTGCCGTGCCAGGTCTGCCAGCCCCCAGAGGCCTGTGCCGGGCCAGGTCTGCCAGCCCCCAGAGGCCTGTGCTGGGCCAGGTCTGCCAGCTCCCAGAGGCCTGTGCCGTGCCCTGGCTCCGGGCCGAGCAGCCGCAGCGCTCCCGCGGCGGGCACGGACACAATGCACCAGGAGCAGCAGCTGGAGGTTTTCCACTGTTTTTTTTCTGGTTTCTTGTTTCTCTCCAAAGTTTCCTTGTGGGGCTGTAACTTTTCCAGGGCTGGATGCGTTCAAAACAGTGGCATTTGGGGAACTGAACTGTTTCCTTTCCTCACTAGGCCTTGTATGAAGGGATTGTTAACTGGAGCAAGCATTGAGGCACTGCCCCAACCATCCTTGTCTCCCAACCCACAGGTGCCTGGCTTGCTTTCTTACAGAAAACATTTGGATTTAATATGAGCGAGAAAATTATTTTCCAGCACAAGTAAAACCTTTCAGGATTTTATAGAGAGAAGATAACAAAACAAGCAGTTCCAAAGCTTGAGCTCGAGCCTCAGTGAGTTCTTCCCAGAGGAAGATTTGAAGAGGCCAAAGACTCTGCAGCAGACACATCTGTGTGATAAATTTAGAATTGAAATATACTTAGTGGAGCACTGACATCTGAAATTTATGTGCTACACAGAGACCCAAGAAGGCGCCGGAATCCACCCACGTGGGATTCCTTGGAGGATCAGAGCCGTAGTTTTCAGCTCTGTAGTTCTCCCTGACCCATCCCACTGCACCATTACCCATCTGGATGCTCCGAGCTGGGAGCAGCTCCCTGAGCTGGGCGGGTTCCTGGCAGCCCTTAGCAGGTTTCTTGGCCCTTACACATGGCTGTAAATCAGGTCGGGCCTCCAAAAAATCCTGATTGGCTTAAACAATCAGGAGATGCTTTGAACCACTAAAGGCCATAAAGTTTTCCATTTTCTGTGTTTTCAGAAGTTTAAGCAGTGCTTTAAGAGCCTCTGCCAGTGTCTCTAAGAGCTCCCGCAAGGCAGAACTACTGAAGATTCTTGAAATCCTGTATAAAATGGGCCATGCCCATGAAGCCTCAGAGAGGCAAATCCCCATGAGCTTCATCCTCCCAGAGCTCCATCCTTCCTCACTCTGTGTCCTGCACACTGTAGGAATGTGCCCCCCTCTTGACAGAGTGACAAAACTATCCTTTACCCCCTTAAAAAGGATAGAAGCCCAGGAGTTCCTCTCCTCAGTTAGGGAAAAGCCACCTCACAGGCCTAGGGGACTTCACCTCAAACTTAAGGGTAGCTAATTGGACAAAAGCCAAAAAGTCCTGCCTGTGTAATTTACTAGAAAAAGAAGTGAACAAAGAAGCTAATTGCTTTTGTGGGGTGTTTTACCAGGAGCAAGAACCTTTTGCACCTGGCTTGCTTTTTCTGTTTGTTATTTTGCCTTTTATTAAACTTTTTTGTTTCCAACACTGCAACAGAAGCCATCCTGCTGATTTTTTATGCCTCCAAAGGGACATCTCATAGGCCTCGGGAACTTCACCTCAAAATTAAGGGTAGCTAAGGAAGACAAAAGCCAAAAAGTCCTGCCTGTGTAATTTACTAGAAAAAGAAGTGAACAAAGAAACTAATTGCTTTTGTGGGGTGTTTTACCAGGAGCAAGAACCTTTTGCACCTGGCTTGCTTTTTCTGTTTGTTATTTTTGCTTTTATTAAACCTTTTTGTTTCCAACACTGCAACAGAAGCCATCCTGCTGATTTTTTATGCCTCCAAAGGTAGCTGAGTGTTATATCCTGCTGATTTTTATGCCTCCAAAGTGTTACAGAGTTGGGTGTGTTATAGACCTCTAAGAGCTTATGAGACCTGGCTCAAGGAGAGCACACCCCAGCTCCCTTCAGTGCCTTGGCCCCACAGGCTCTCCTGGTGGCCACCACACCATGCTACCCACACCGTACCACTGTGCCCACCCTGTTCCTGTGGGGTGGGACACGGGGCATGCCAGGCAGGCCCTGTTTGCCCTCCCCTTGGCACCTGCCCACCACTGGCAGAGGGAGGCAGCAGCAGTTGCGGGTAAGGAGCAAACCCCAGCGTTGGCTGATGTCCCTCTGTCAGGGCACCCGAGTCAGTGTGAC